TGATTGAGAAATGGAATTGAAGAGAAACAAACAAGGAAACACCGTTTATGAGAATTCTAATTTCCGGAATAGAACTAAAGTACATACACATTCTAGTTTCCATAACAAAACTGAAGTATGTACACAACAAACAAAAATAAGGAAGGTGAACAACAAAACTCAAACTCAACAATGAGCCCCAAAAGGTGCAAACATAGCGTGGATCCTCTCCTCTATCAAAAGATTCACACTTCCTTCATCACATTGTTGGGATTTGATTAGAGACCATTCATGTAACTTTGTGATTGATTAGAGACAATAAAGCATCACATAGATATATGGCACTCAATTGGATCATAATTATAGCTACAAAATTCTTACATACAGCTCTTCAGCTCCTAGTGTTTTTTCTTTGATATTTCACACTTTCTTCATCATATAGTTGGGGTTTGATTAGAGACCATTCATGTAACTTTGTGATTGGTTAGAGAGAATGAAGCAATATTTTATGGATACGGAGTCTTAAGTACTAAATTGGGTGAAAGGCAAGTTCTTGCCGGAGTGCATTGCCCTCTTTGGTGTGCAAAACAATTTAATACTGAAATTGCTTTGAAACCAAGTGTTGCCAAGTCCATTGTTCTCTTTGGCGTTAATATAACAACTTTAAGTCCAAAATTTTTTAAAAAATCGTCTTACTGAAGACCATTTGTTGCCACATTGCATAAGTATAAGCTTAAGATAAAGTGATTTCTAGCTGTTCATTATTCTTTATTTTAGGATTAGAACTATTTTGTATTTTACCTTTGTCTGCATTTGAATACCGCCATCTTGAGCAACTGGTCTCCAACAATACTTCTCAAGTTGTGAACAAATACATCTTTAGAGACCTCATTTTTCTGAATATACCCCAAAAAAAATCTATTTCCAAGACCTGCCTTCAATTTACAATTTGAAGTTGCATGGCTTGGTCCTTATGGAGTTGGGGTTGTATGGCCAGGAGCAAAAGGGCAAATGGCACTTGTTTTCCGCAACTCATTGGATTACCAGCCTGCACTGGTGCCATTGGATGTTGATTACTCATCTTCTGTAATTTTGAGTATTGAGATTCGCTGTTTGGATATTGTGTTCTTTCTGGCTCTCTCACATGGACAGGATTCTTCTCAGAATTCTGCATATCCATTGTCTGAGAAGAAAGCGATTGCAGGGTATTTTGTTCTACTTCAGCTTGCCATTGTTGACAACCTTTTTGTGATTGTTTCTCTTGCGGTGGGAAGCAATTCCGTTCTTGCGAGGTGTCAATTTGTGGTTGCTGGTTCTCATAACCAGATGCATGTTGGTTCAGCACCAATTCGGATGAATGTCGCTCCTGTTGCTGTGAACCCTTCAGATATTGTCGACCTTGACAATTAGCCTTTTCATCTTGGATGAAGTTTGCCATTGAGGAAACAAGTGACTGGAAGTCTGATTGCTTCCTTGAGATAAAACTCCTGAAAATTAAATTAACATGTCATAACTAATAACATATATTCTGACCAGGACAAGTGAAAGTCTAAATGGAAAGAACATATAAGAAGGTTAAACACATTTAATTACAAATTATAGCCATGCCCCTGCACGCACACTACTTGGTTAGGCTCAAAGTTGGAATCTACAAATAGAACTTTGGAATATTATCTTTAAACACCCGTTGGTGCCTTAATTTAAAAAGGAATATATATATATGTGTGTGTGTGTGTGTGTGTGTGTGTGTGTGATACCCCTTAATTTCGGAACATAAGTTGATCAAATCCGCGCACAAAATTAAGGGATATCAAAACAATTAAAGTATTTCAAACAAGCACAGAGTACAAAAAGAAAATAAAAAGAATAAATAACTCGCTGAAGGAAAATCTATTAAATAATAAATCCATTACTAACTCTCGAATGGTTACAGCTCGGGAATCCCGTAACTCAAGGACCCCTTAACCAAACTCCATTATCCAGAAATTCATCATTACATACTGAAGTAATAATATCCTACTTTGAAATAAAATAGAAAGAATGGATAAGTCCTTTAGCTGCGGATCCTCAACCTTGAGACTTGGAACTTCTAGTAACCTGAAAAACAAATCGCGGGTTAAACCCTACGAGCAAGTTCACTATACCAAACCTCTGAAAACTAATAAATAGATCATCTCTGATCAAAACCAAACCTAATAAAGTTTTAACTTTAATAGTGCACGATATACATATCTATATATAATTATATATGCTATATTAATCACATCCATTAATAGGTTTATTAAATTTCCATACCTAAATGGACAAGTGAAAGTCTAAATGGAAAAAACATATAAGAAGGTCAAACACATTTAATTACAAATTATAGCCATGCCCCTGCAAACAGTACTTGGTTAGGCTCAAAGTTTGAATCTACGAATAGAACTTTGGAATATTATCTTTAAATACCCGTTGGTGCCTTAATTTAAAAAGGAATATATATATATATATATATATATATATATATATATATATATATATATATAAGAGGATATCAGAAAAGAAGAGGCAAGAAAGATTTTAAAATTTCAGTACTCTTTTTAAGGTGCTTTTACCGCTGTTAAAGGATTTAAAGTTACACCCTCTCAAGGACCCCTTAACCAAACTCCATTATCCAGAAATTCATCATTACATACTGAAGTAATAATATCCTACTTTGAAATAAAATAGAAAGAATGGATAAGTCCTTTAGCTGCGGATCCTCAACCTTGAGACTTGGAACTTCTAGTAACCTGAAAAACAAATCGCGGGTTAAACCCTACGAGCAAGTTCACTATACCAAACCTCTGAAAACTAATAAATAGATCATCTCTGATCAAAACCAAACCTAATAAAGTTTTAACTTTAATAGTGCACGATATACATATCTATATATAATTATATATGCTATATTAATCACATCCATTAATAGGTTTATTAAATTTCCATACCTAAATGGACAAGTGAAAGTCTAAATGGAAAAAACATATAAGAAGGTCAAACACATTTAATTACAAATTATAGCCATGCCCCTGCAAACAGTACTTGGTTAGGCTCAAAGTTTGAATCTACGAATAGAACTTTGGAATATTATCTTTAAATACCCGTTGGTGCCTTAATTTAAAAAGGAATATATATATATATATATATATATATATATATATATATAAGAGGATATCAGAAAAGAAGAGGCAAGAAAGATTTTAAAATTTCAGTACTCTTTTTAAGGTGCTTTTACCGCTGTTGAAGGATTTAAAGTTACACCCTCTCTAACAGCTTAAGCTTTCCGAGTAGATGATTGTAAACATAGTATCAGAGGTCCTGTGTTCAAACATCACCGTTACCCTAATAACTAAAATTGAAACACATGTTGGACCAAAAGAAGGCCACGGGTGAGGGAAGGTGTTGAAGGATTTAAATATTAATGATACACCCTCTCTATCAGCTTAAGCTGGTAGATGGTTGTTAACAACTGCTACAAGCTTGAGGTAGTGTTTGGGGGAGCTTTTAAGGGGCTTTAGGACTTCTAAGGTCTAGAATTAAACAAGGAAAAACAGACTTCCAAGAGAAGCGCAATAAGGTGAAAGTCCGTTTAGAAAAGCCAATAAGAGTTACTTTTAAAAACTAATTCTCACAAAGTTGGATCGTTACTCGTGTAATAAATTCTAAATGATGAGTTTGTCCCTAATTTGTTAACTTGCATCTCGAAAGAAAACAAAGCAGGTAAACTTATCAGGCCACAAGAAGTTGCAGGAACAGTCTCAAATCCATTCAGATTCATATTTATTCGGCAAAATTATGGCAAGGAATAATATTCTAGGGTTATATATGTATCTCTGTGTGTGTGTAGAGTGGAGCGGGAGGAGGAAATCATTTGATAACTAATAACAGCTCACAATCAGAGGTTTGATAGTAGTGGCAGTCTACTTTCATGTATAACAATGGATTTCAAATTTGTTTTCATGTGTTTGTTCATTATATTGTCTACATAATTATGAGTAGATACCTAAAATTATGAGTGGAACACTAAATTTGATTTTATTTATTTAGAAATGCAATGTGGGTTGTTATTAAGTCTAAAGAATAATATTATCAATTTAAAGCAATTGTAACTGTTAAATGGACTTCTCCATATTGCATTTACCAAACATCTTTTCTCTTTTAAATTCATTTTATAGATGCCTTTTAAACGAAGGACTTCTAGTACTAAACAAGGCCTGAATTTCTCTCCAAACCATCTCACTTATGAGGTGATATATTTTGTGGGCTCCGAGAGTTCTCCTAATCGTATCTTGTCTCTTTTCATTAAGTGAATCAAACCATATAAAAGATAAATAGACTGTAAAAGAGATATGTTAACCAACAGTGTGTTACTGAGGGACTAACAGAGGTAGAGATTCAACAATAATAAAAGAATGACAGATGAACTCATTTCATGCAATATCTTGTGTCCTGCTCAACGTAAGTTGATAAAGAATAATAAAAAAAGAAGTCCTACAATACTTGTTATTGGTCAATATATATATATATATATGCAAGCTTATTACAGTTTACGACCTACAATTCTTAGAATTTTCAAACTTATATCAGGCAATCAACCCACCTTTGAAATGATCGAGGTTATAATCTTTTCCCAAGTTTCCAGTAAAAAACAACCACAAATAAAATTTATGGCCGCGCTCTAACACAAACTTGGATTAGAAGTGTGATGCCAACATGCAGCATGCTAATTTACCAATCTTAAACCACTAGAGTTGCGGCAGCATCGATGTTACACACAACTTGGTGTGTAACTTCATATAAACAGTCATCTTTCTTTATAGTTTATATACCATAACACACTTCTAGTTAATACTGCTTAGTTAACTTGTATTCATAACTTTGTATTATATATATATAAAACCAGCCCCCTTTTATTCAAAAGAACGAATTACACTGATACAACACTGGCAAGGTGAAGCAGTTTATCTTCCCCTCTCCACAATCCATTTGATACCCAAATCATTATTCTCTCTTTAAAGGGCTGTTCTTCCTAAATTTATCAATTTTTATCTATATTCAAATCAGTGTTCACGAATGTTCAATATTTGAGATACCCGTGATATAGTTAAATCAAAGCAGAGAAGAGCTTCCAGAGATGCATACCACTATCTGAATCAGAGGGTTGAGAGTTGGACGTATTGCCCTCTATGTCCCTGTTTAGAGCAGCAGTGAATGCCTCCACATCCACACCAGAATGTTTCATATGGTGTTGTTGCACTGAAGTTTGAGACTGTGAAGAGACTTGGTTGGGCCCGGCCTCTGAGTTTCGGGCAGTCTGTTTCCAAGCTTGGTTTAGAACTAATCGACAATCAACTTAGCAGGTTTTAAGCATATTTTGATTGCAACAAACTATATTGTGTTTTTACCTGTGTTTGCAATTTGAATACTGCCATCTTGAGCAACTGGTCTCCAACAAGACTTCTCATGGTGCAAACAAATACATCTTTAGAGACCTCATTTTTCTGACTATAGCAAAAAAAAATCTCCATTTGGATGAGATAATATTCCATCCAATACAAGGAATAGTAGTTGGAAAATAATCAAATTCTAAGACCTACCTTCAGTTTATTATAAAGACTCTGAAGTTGCATGGCTTGGTCCGTATGAAGTTGGGGTTGTATGACCGGGAGCAAAAGTGCAAATGGCACTTGTTTGCCCTTATTCATTGGATTAATTGCCTGCTCTGGTGCCATTGGATGTTGATTACTCATCTTCTGTAATTTTGAGTATTGAGATTCGCTGTTTGGATATTGTTTTCTGCCTGGCTCTCTAACATGGATAGGATTCTTCTCAGAATTCTGCATATCCATTGTCTGAGAAAAATGTGATTGCAGGGTATTTTGATCTGCTTCAGCTTGCCATTGTTCACAATCTTTTTGTGATTGCTTCTCTTGTAGTGGGAAGCAATCCCGCTCTTGCGAGGTATCAATTTGTGGTTGCTGGTTCTCATAACCAGATCCAAGTTGCTTCGGCAACAATTCAGATGAATGTTGCTCCTGTTGCAGTGAACCCTTCAGATATTGTTGACCTTGGCAGGTAGTTTGCCGTTGCGGAAACAACTGACTGGAAGTCTGATTGCTTCCTTGAGATAAAGCTGCTGAATTTTAAAATTAACAAGTCATAACTAATAACAAATATTCTGACCAGGCCATGTGAAAATGGAAAGAACATATAAAAAGGTCAAATACATTTAATTACAAATATTTAGCTATGCCCCTGCATGCACAGTACATGGTTAGGCTCAAAGTTTGCATCTATAAATAAAACTTTGAAATATTTTTGCACACTGCTTGGTGCCTTAATTTAAAAATGAAATATATATATATATATATATATATATATATATACACATATATCAAGAGGATGTCAGAAAAGGAGAGGCAAGAAAGCTTTTAAAATTTCATTAATCATTTTTAAGTGCTTTTAATGCTAAAAACTTGAGGTAGTGTTTGGGTGAGTTTTTAAGGGCTTTAGAAGGACTTCTAAGGTCTAGAAAAAAACCAGACAAACAGACTTCCAAGAGAAGGGGAATAAGGTGAAAGTCCGTTTTGCCAAAGCCAATAATAGTTACTTTTGAAAACCAATTCTCACGAAATTAGATTGTTACTTAAGTAAAAAATTCTAAATAACAAATTTGTCCCCCATTTGTTAGGTTGCCATCTCAAAAGAAAACCAAAGCAGGTACACTTATCCAGCCCTAACAAGTTGCAGGAAGAGTCTCAGATCCATTCTGATTCTTATTTACTATGCAAAATTATGGCAAGGCATAACATTCTAGGGTTATATACGTATCTGTGCGTGTGTGTGTGTGTGTAGGGTGGACCGGGAGAAGGACATCATTTGATAACTAATAACAGCTCACAATAAGAGGTTTGATAGTAGTGGCGGTCATCGGAGGTAAACTTGTGGCTCGGAGATGGCTCCCCCATCGTGGAGACAGAAATGGTTCATTATGTTGGAGATTGTACAGACTCGGATCAGTTTATTAGTGTTGGTTTGTTATGTCTACATGTATATGTATGTATACACAATATGCAATTCCTACTATCATTAATACGTGAGGCTTTAAACCAATTGATTCTTGCAACCCAAGTTCATAACCGCTATATGGGTGGCAGTGGAAGAGTCAACGGGAAGGAGGGCATTGTGGAAAGATAACTCGGATGGTGGAAAGAGGGTTAGTGATTGTCAAATCAACTGTTGGGCTATCAAAGTAATTCTTTAATTTGGGTTTCCACTGTAGAGATACTGATTGTGGAGAGTGGGAATAGTACTAGGTGGGGCAAACTTTCTAAATGAAATTATTCTTGATAGTGTCTAAAGAAAACATAACTAGTAGTTACAGAAGAAGGTTTCTAAATGAAAATTGGGGGTGATGACCATGAATACACCATCTTTCAAATTAAGAAATTTCTCTAAAATTGTAACCTACTCATGTATTATTTATTTATTTATTATATTGTCTACAATGAATAGATACCTAAAAAAGGGATTATGAGTGGAACTCTAAATTTGATCTTATTTTTTTTGAATGATCAAGTGCAATGTGGGTTATTATGAAGTCAAAATGGTATTATTGTCAATTTAAAGCAATTGTAACCATTAAATGTACTTCACCATGTTGCATTTACCAAACATCTTTTCTATTTTAAATTCCTTTTATAAAGGCCTTTTAAACGAAGGACTTCCAGTACTAGATGCTCCCCCAAACAAGGCCTCAAGTTCTCTCCAAATCATCTCATTATGAGTTGATATATTTTGTAGGCTCGGAGAGTTATACTCGTTCTCCTAATCGCATCTTGTCTCTTTTCATTAAGTGAACCAAACCATATAAAAGAAAAAATAGAATGTAAAAGAGATATGTTAAGTTCTCTTCCCCTTCTCCTCTCTTCTGTCTTAATCAAACAGTGTGTTACTGAGGTACCAACAGAGGTAGAGATTCAATGATAATAAAAGAATGACAGATGAACTACCATTTCATGCAATATATTGTGTCCTACTCAGCGTAAGTTGATAAAGAATCTTCAAACTTATATCAGGCAATCAACCCATCTTTGAAATGAGGTTATAATCCTTTCCCAAGTTTTCAGGCAAAAACAATCATAAATAAACTTTACGGCCGTCCTCTAACATAAATTTGGATTAAAAGTGTGATGCCCTATGTGCAGCATGCTAATTTACCAGTCTCAAACCACTAAAATTTTCACAGCATCCATGTTACACACAACTTGGTGTGCAACTTCATATAAATGGTCATCTTTCTTTATAGTTTATACCATAATACACATCTAGTTAATACCAAGGTTGTTAAAATCGGGATTCTAGGCAGAATCGTTTTGGGCTCTGTAGAATCGGAATCGTAGAATCGGATCGTGAATCGTAAGATTCTACCAAATTGTGAAAAACAATTGAAACTAACTTCTTAAACAATAAGATCTGTAAAATATAACAAAAATGAGGTCAAAACACACAATATTACATATCCATGAATTCACAAATCTCAAATCCTATCAATATTTCAAAGTCCGAATATAAATAAAAGAGAATTTAACTCAAAATAACATGAATTTACAAATCTCAAATCTTAACCCATCCATCTCCAAAGTTAGAAAATAAAATTACATATCAAAAGTAAACCTTTTTTTTTTTTTTTTTTTTTTTTTTTAACTCTATGCAAATTTTTTTTTTTCGAAAACTGAAGAAATAAAAAGACCTTTTTGTCTACCAATCCAAGTGTTACAGTGTATGTGACTTTATTAGTCACAAGTATGAAATTAATCAAGAGTTAGCACAACAAAATATGAACCACGCGTTAACTTGATCTCATTATATTATCAGTTTAGACTACAAGATTATACATTGGCTGGCATATTCGGCAAGTCTTTTAAGCTTTTAAATTACTTTTAATTTTTAATATATATGATAAGCCTTCAAAAAAAATTAGTCAAATGAAACCAAAATTTGCCTAAACCTGTTAGTCACGAGTATGCATCCTTGAGATATAATTGATCATTTTAATTTTTTATAATTAAACACAAAAATATATTATGAAACATCAACATGCATGGTAAAAATAATTGATATATATACATATTTATATTTCTTTTTCTGCCACTAATGAAAAATAATTTATTTTTAATAGAATAAATATTTAACTTTGTATACTACACTTGGGCCAGGCCTCTTTTATTTTGTAGCCCAGAAGAAACCAACCAAAAAATAAAAGAAAGCCCAAAAATAAAGGCCCAAACAACCAATTTCGTAGAATCGGTAGAATCGTGTAGAATCGTACGATTCTACCTCCGATTCTACGATTCTACCCCCGATTCTACCGATTCTACCCCCGATTCTACTAATTAAACGATTCTGCTGCGATTTGACTCGATTTTGAGTTCTGAGTGGTAGAATCGTGCGATTCTACGACTCAGAATCGCGATTTTGACAACCATGGTTAATACTGCTTAGTTAACTTGTGCTCATAACTTTGTATTATATATAAAAAAAGACTGCCCCCTTTTATTCAAAAGAACAAAATCTAGTGATATAACACGGTGAAGCTGTTTATATCTATTTGATGCCCAAATTCTTTATTCTTCCTAAATTTCATAAATTTTTATCTAAATTGACATCACTGTTCAATAATGTACAATATTTGAGATACCCATGACATAGGGAAATCGAAACAGAGAAGAGCTTCCAGAGATGCATACCACTATCTGAATCAGAGAGTTGAGAATTGGACGTATCATCACCCTCTATGTCCATCGTTTTGCCCTGTGAACCAATCATATCATAAAAATTTAGACTCCAATAATTCCCCTATTAACAAATCCAAACAGCTTATACATATATACAAGATATATATACACGCATGTGTGTGTAGAGAGAGAGGAAACCTCGCCGACTTCAAGAAGCTTTATGATGGAGGGATCCATTAATGTCTCCGTATAAATTACTAGGTCAATTGGATTCTTGATCGATCTCCGTTATTTAAGTACATAAATTTTTTTTAAAAAAATACAGTGAAAGAATCGAGAGTGAGTTTGTGAGTTCACAAATTGGCGAACGAAATGATGAACGATATGTTGGCGTTCGTCGTGGATTCAGCGGTTCCGATGAGAGACAAAACTATACTGCAATGGTGCCCTTGGCCTGGCTTTTATAAACCCTTTCTAATGCCAATATATATATACCTTCCGAAAGAGAGGGGAAAATATATATATATATTATATATCGCGAAAATTGCTACAATAATATTTTATCAAACTGGAAAATTCTACCTTTCAAAAAAATATAAACAAATAAATAATTTGTTAAATTACAGTGGCTAATTGCACAAATTATATGTTAAATTTTAATTATAAAAGAATTAAGCATTTAAACAATTAAGTATGCTCGATAACAGAATTTAAATATTACTAAAACATTAAGTAACACTTTAATTATAAAAGAATTAAGCATTTAAACAATTAAGTATGCTCGATAACAGAATTTAAATATTACTAAAACATTAAGTAACACGTAAAATGAGGTAAATTTTTAAGTGATAGATATATTATTTATTACTGAATGCTAAACCTGAAAATTCAAAAAATATTTATTTTTTAATTAACACTTGAAAATTTCAGTACTTAAAATTAAGCTTACTAGGCAAAGTCTCAAAATTTTAGTTTACTTTAAGCAATATTTGTGTTACTCTTTATGAGGGAGAGAAAAAAAAAAAAAAAATGGTTAGTTTTTATAATTTTCACCTAACCATACTGTTAGATTCATTTATATAGTCCAATCGACTACATAATATACTATCAAAAGAATAGCGGTGTTGATAAGGATCCGAGAGATAAGTCCTTAAGATCTCGCTTTCGAATCACACTCCAGCCTGACTTAAATGGTATGTGTGTTGTGGGACCGATACAAGTATAAAATAAAAAAATAATAAAAGAAATAAAGGTTTTTATAAACAAAAAATTACTTAAAAATTAATTTAAAGAGTTTAATTCAAATTACAAATTACCTAATAAAATTTATTTTTCTTGTCCCACAATAGTTTTAAGTAAAAATGATTACATGGAGGACTCTTATAAAACTATAGACCTAAAGAAATAATAATCACACATTTCTCAGCCTTTTGGCTAAGATCAAGTGTAGTACAAAATTTTTTTGGGTCGGCCTTTAGGTTAACCTTTCTCGATCTTTTGGCTAACATCAAGTGTAGTATTACTTTCTTGGCTTTTGGCTTTCAGTATTTTTTTTTTTATTAATTATTAATTTAAAAAGTTTAATTAAAATTACAAATTACCTAATAAAATTTATTTTTCTTGTCCCACATTAGTTTTAAGTTAAAAGGATTACATGGAAGTCTCTTATAAAACTATTGACCTAAAAAAATAAATATAAAAAATCACACCTTTCTTAGCCTTTTGGCTAACATCAACTGTAGTACTAAATTTTTTTGGTCGACCTTTGTGCAAAGAGTTTTAGTATTTTAGTATTTATTTATTAATATAAAAAAAGAGTTTTTATAAATAAAAAATTACCTAAAAATTATTTAAAGAGTTTAATTCAAATTACAAATTACCTAATAAAATTTATAAAAATTAATTTAAAGAGTTTAATTCAAATTACAAATTACCTACTAAAATTTATTTTTCTTGTTCCACATTGGTTTTAAATAAAAAAAATTACATGAAAACTTCTTATAAAACTATAGTACTAAATTTTTTTGGGTCGGCCTTTTGGCTAACCTGTCTTGGCCTTTTGTCTAAGATTAAGTATAATATTACTTTCTCAGCCTTTTGGCTTTCAGTATTTATTTATTAATATAAATAAAGAGTTTTATAATAAAAAAAAACTACCTAAAAATTATTTAAAGAGTTTAATTCAAATTACAAATTATCTAATAAAATTCATTTTCTTATCCCATATTGATTTTAAGTAAAAAAGGATTATATGGAAGCCTCTTATAAAGTTATAGTATTAAATTTTTTTAGGTCGGTCTTTTGGCTAACCTTTCTTGGTCTTTTGGCTAAAATCAAGTGTAGTACTACTTTCTCAGTCTTTTGGTTTTCAGTATTTATTTATTAATATAAAAAAAGAGTTTTTATAAGCAAAAAATTACCTAAAAATTATTTAAAGAGTTTAATTCAAACTACAAATTACCTAATAAAATTTATTTTTTCTTGTTCCACATTGGTTTTAAGTAAAAAAAAAAATTATATGGAAGCCTCTTATAAAACCATAGACCTAAAGAAATAATAATAACACATTTCTCGGCCTTTTGGCTAAGAAAGTGTGATACCCCTCGGATCCGAGACACGGGTTGATCAGGCCCAGGCCCAAACCCGAGGGAACATCGAACAATTAATATTTTATAATGAACACATAATACAAACCGAATTAAGAAATGAAGTTTAAGCTGAAAGAAACTAAAATAAAATCCTCAAAATATAATTATTGAAATCCATTAAATCCAAACTCCAAAACTCCATCAGTTTACAACTCGGGAATCCATCTCTAGTGGGCCCCTAATAAACATCCAGATTGAAATAAAACAACTGAAATAAACATCCAAAAATAAACTATGGAGAGAATCCTACATCGTCGGAAGAGTGAATAAAAACATCTGCTCAACACAAACACGTCTAGGTTTGGAACTGTCGTGTACCTGAAAAAATAGAAGTGGGTCAGGCCCACGCGCAAGTTCTATACAATTACAATCCAAACAGAGACCCGATACGCATGTACATCCTAAACAATTCCACGATAGCTAATAGTCCGTAAATATATATATAGTCACACTAAAGGACTCCCACTGGACTACAGGCCGGTCTCAACCTGAATAGAGGTAACATGCTAAAACGCACAGGAGGTGGGTATGTATACCTAAATCTAAATAGGGTACACATCTAACCATCGTATCCAGCTATGCATCCCCATGCATATATGCTCCATAACCGTCGATCCTGAGACTCAAGCTTATATCGACGTACTATAACAATATATTTAAAATCCATCCTGAATCCTAGTAGTGCCGCTCAACTAATCGTTGCCATGACACTACAATCAATAGGACTTAACTTTTAGTTAATCCAATCCTTAATCTGGAGCAGGTAGGTCTTGGTATTTTGAATCCAAACCGTCCCCAGTATACCACCGTCCTATACCGGTGTATACTATCCAATCATCCAGTAGTTGATAATATCAACAATTAAAGTAAACAGCAACTATCCCTAGTATACCACCGTCCCATACCGGTGTATACTATCCAACCATCCAGCAATTGCTAACACCAACAACTAAAGTGAATAGCAACTAACTCCATATCTCCACCATTGATATTATAAATGTTAACTTTAAATGTCACAAGTTCCAGAGTAAGCATACTAGAGTTGTGTATTTTTAATATGCTAAACCTACACTACACCACCACAGTCTAGCAATTAACCATACATCAGTATATGCAATTATCAGTTTTATTTCCAGAATCCATATGAGAGCTAGAACATGGTAAATGTACACACCAAATAATATCACAGTGAGCTTATTAATCATAGGCAGTTATCAAGCTTCAACACACAGTCCCACAAGTTACGAAATGTTTGCTAAGGTTTAAATGGCAAATACTCCACAACAGGCATAAGAAAAATGTACAGATTTTTAACATGCTTAGTTTATACTACAAATCCATGATTATTATTTAATAACCATTCACATACAGTTCATAGAACAACCTAAACAATTTGAACCTCCTGTAGCCACCACAGTTTGCATAACTTGCTAGAAACTGTTTAATGTTCAACCTAGCAATCCTAAGTGATTTAATATTCCTTCCTACATCCTCTGAAGTTCTAATACAATCAGAGAACTCATCTAAATCTCCCCTTACAATCCTTGAACATCCCAGAAAAATCAAACCCATTCACTGTCTGAAGGAAAACACACGGGAAAACAAAATAGCAGACCACTGGAGCAAAAGCCTGCTCCAAACAAGTGTGGAGCTGGCTCCCACATCCATGGGAGCCGTCTCCCATCAAAGGGAGCCGGCTCTCTCCCAAGGAGAGCCGGCTCTCCCTTTCTCTGCTTTGTCTCTTCGCCTTCTGTCTCCGTTTTACTCCTCTGCTACCTCACGCCATGACTTCCAGAGGCTGCAACCCAATCCCAGTACATTCCCAGTCAATGCTTAAGTCCAGTTAACATTACATTCATGGCTTTAAACAGAGATTTATGCAGGCAAACATCATGTTTTTAACAGTTTTACAAAGCATAAAAACATATTGATAAATTACAGTTTAAGCACGAACAAAGAATGTTTTAAATTGATTCCATTGATCCTAAAACTGTTTAAGAATGCAAAGAACACGAAACCTAAGGGAGAGAGTAAGGATAGAACTTGCCTTACACCAACGTCCGTCTATAATCCCCGGCGAATCCTCTGTTAATTCTTAATTTTCCTTCCCAGCCGTCTCCAAACTTCCTGTGCCTTACTATGGCGTAATATTGTTCTAAAACCCTAGACAGACATCTTAGACGAGTATTTATAAGGCACACTAGCCCTAGGCTCAGTTAAACCCTAGATGAATTACTCGGCCCACAGCACAATCTAGGTTAAACTATGTCGGCTACCTATGTAAATTGTAAATCTAAAATATGATACCCATCCTATAGTCACGTTAAAACCTATTAAATTAAATTAAATAAATTCATACCATTTAATCAATAATTAAAACAAACACAAGTAACTAACAATAAAGTAATTAATACAACTAAATCAAAAATGTAAAACAATTAAATTAAACAGTTACCACTAAATAAGTAAATGCAATTAAATCACAAAAATGAAGATAATTAAATAATTAACCACAATTAAAGCAATAAAATTAACACATATACACTTCAACAATTAAAAATGCAATTTAAACAATAAAAATAATAAATT